CCCTTAAAATGGGGATTTTGGCCTGTTCCACATCAGAGGTTTGGACTTTCTTGACTATATCAAACAATGAAATCGCACAACAACGTCATAATTATAAATAAACATAAATGTACTTAATATTGTGACACCCATTACGTATTATGGACAGAAAGACATACATAATCTCATTCTACTTTTTCAATTTTTTTCCATTTTAACCATTTCATTCTATGACCAAAAGTATTGTATGAAAAAGATATTTGAATATAAGTTAAATAAAGTCCAATAACTTAACTATAACTTCAAAACTACATTAAAAAATGCAATGTTTTTAATTTATTGTTAATTACCAAAAATAATAATTATATACCTATTATTTTCTTATATGTATATACTCCCCATATTTTAATGTCCATATATTGACTGATTTATTCAAGTTTCAAGCCCTGTTTTGTACCTTATTCATGGTAAGAATCAGAAAGTATTAACTGTTGCACATGTATGTTTGTCACATCTGGATGTGAATACAAAAAATAACGACGGTTTCACAATATCTGTTTCAGTTCTTAGATCTGCCTAAAACTTTTTCATTTCCCATTATCAATTAAAGAAATTTAGCATGTTGACTGTTGCTGTTATTTTTGACTGTTTGTTTGAGGAAGTGCAATTTATAATTCTGTTGAAATGTAGCAACCCTGACAGATCATCTAGTGGTGAAACGGTGGTTACAAGACTGCCAAACCTCTGTGTAGTACGTACAAAGTACAATTATGTAGTCATCACATATTTCATATGTAAATAATGTTTCTTTAGAAAAGCATCCAAAATAGAACATGATTGCCGTAGCTTACTCGTAAATCTGGTAGTCTCAATAAATGAAATCTGTGTCAAGTTCAAAATCTAATTTACTGGATTCAGCTGTGCCAGAGCTTAAAATGGAAAACTCATTAAGGGTGATGATATAAACAGTAGGCAACACTGGGCCCACAGAGACACACTGTTGGCATTTCCCCCTGTAAAGATCAGCACTTAGTTAGGATCAAGTGATCAATCGACAAAGTGACTCAATACCAGCTCAACTTCAGTTCCGTGTCATTGCTTTAAGAGTTTAAATTTAGGGTTCATTCCCCATACGGTTGTAAAAGTGCTTTTTCATGCATCTGGTCAAGTCGGGGCATGTCACTTCCATCTGACTGCTGATTCATACCGATGACTGAATCAGTGATCGTTGCTCAGACTTCAGGTTTCCCTCCAGCTATTATTTGAAAGCCACACCAAATCTTTTTGTGGGATAAAAGCATGCTTTTACAGTGCTCTCAACCATGGTCTGTGTACCAAAATGAGAGGGTTGCACAACTGGGCTTTCAACTCTGTCAAGATCTTTAGAAAGAATTCAGTTAAATTACAGCATCATCACATTTTTGTCAGTCAGCCTTAGGTAGCATGATGGTTTACAAAGTAGTTTGTTGAAAGTGAATGAGAACTGGGTTTGTCCAGCTTCAAAATGACTTAATGGGCTGTACATCAAATCTTTGTAAGTCATTTGACTCTTGTGAGAAACAGGTTGAAATTTGAAGGGATGGTTCACCCAGAATATCAAAAACCAAACCAAACCCATAAGACGGTAGTTCATCTTCAAGACACAAATGAATAATTGAGTCCATCCATTGAAAGTCTATTCTATTAAAACTTTGAGGCTTCAGAAAGTTCATAAAGGATCCTAAAAGAAGTCCATATAAATCGAGCGGTTCTAGAGACGTGCTTGTTTTATATGATATACAGATTTTAGGCTTTTATTCGCATATAAACATTGATAAACCATACTTGCTTGACATCTCATTGCTTCAAGCAACTACTTTGAACTATCATTTAACGTAATTGATGTGCTCTATGTATGTGCGTTGATCAGTGTTTATATGCGAGTAAAAGCCTAAATTCAATATGTTCATCATAGAAAGAGATCATGTTTCTTCAGAAGACTTAGCATAAACCACTCTATACATATGGGATTTGTTTTAAGGGTTTATAATAACATGAGTGTGAGTACATGATGACAGAATTTTTATTTTGTCATGAACAAATCATTTTTTTTAAGTCCGATTTCTTTCAATGATTCAATTGATCCAGTTAAAGGGGTCATATGATGTTGCTAAAAAGAACATTATTTTGTGTATTTAGTGTAATGTAATGTGTTTATGCGGTTTAAGGTTCAAAAAACACATTATTGTTTCTCCTCTATGTCCCGCCTTTCTGAAACGCGTTGATTTTTACAAAGCTCATCGTTCTGAAAAGCGAGGTGTGCTCTGATTGGCCAGCTATCCAGTGCGTTGTGATTGGCCGAATACCTCAAGAGTGTGACAGAAATGTTACACCCCTACCATACTGTGATGCCGTCTCCTGGAGTGACGAGACAAAAACATTAAAACCCATTATAAACGAGGCATTTGTTGCATAATTATGGATTATAATGACTAAAGGTCTCTGCACACTGAGTCCGAAATTTTCGTAGGTGTTTTTTCGTATTCTAAACACTAAAAATTTGTCACGCAGAGAAACCTTGCACACTGAGTCCGATGCGTATTAATTAATCCGTTGCGAAAAAATTCGCAAAACAGCACTAAATGGAGTCTTCAAGCAGTGAGGATGATTTTGTTGTCCTCTCGCTTCTTAAAAAAAGAAAAAGAAAGGAAATATTGGGTCCATCCAATCCTGAGATATAGAGAGGAAGGAGAGTTCCCCCTCCTTATTAAGGAGCAGCGGGATTACACGGGCGATTCAAAGTTTACTTCAGGATGTCAGTGGCTCAGTTTGATGCTTTTGCTAGCGATACTAGAGCCACATATTAAAAAGAAGACAATTTCTGTGAACTCAGTGTGCAAGGATCTATATACAGTGCTTTGTGCTGCGGGATGAAGTGGATGAATTTGACAATCGCCATTCTGGATTTTGGCGTTTGCTTGTACGGTGGCTCTGAACTGTCAAAACACCTCTCAAAATGCTTGCTACAGATGCGAAAAACTGAAAAAATCTAACCCGATCCAAATGTTTTTATGACGGACGAATATTTCGGAGGCAGTGTGTAAATGTGATTGACATAACGTGAGGTCGTATTTATTTTTTAACGTGCGAAAATTTCGGACGAAATTTTCGTACTCCGTGTGCAATGACCTTTACACTGTCTTTTTACGCTTTGCGTTGCATCGCGCCGCGTAAACATAAAACCATATCTGCATTTGTGATCAGAGAAATGACAAACAACAAGCGCTACTCTACACTGCTCAAAACTCGCGTTTGAATCGTCAGTGGCAAATTCTTTAAATATGAAAACGTACTTACAGGCTGTGAGTCAGAACAGCCGGCATTGTAGTCTACTCTCCCTGGATCAGAAACAGTCCTCCATTAAATGTGCTGCACACATCTGAATATTTGGGTTAAACTGTTCTGGAACAGTGTTGTAAAAACAAAGTATTTTCGCTTTCGCAACGAAACACAGCGTCTTCACAAGCTCTCTGGACAGGAAGATTAGCAGTGTGTAACGACTTAAATTCTGACATGTTTGAGACACAAAGACTCAGACTATAATACACATGTTGTATACATCACTCTTATGAGATTTTATAGTGCTTTTTGTCGTTTTCAAAGCTTGAAAGCATGTAACTGCGTGGAAAAGAGCAGGCAGTACATTATTCTAATTTTCTCTTTTTGTGTTCCTTGAATGTAAGAAAGTCATGGTTTAAAATGACATGAAAGTGAATAAATCAAGTTGAAAACAACATGAAAGTGAATAAATAAAGACAGAATTTTTATTCAAAATGTTGTGAAATGTTGCATGAGGTGCACCTTGGCTTAACGGTTTTAGTTCGTAGCGAGATGAAACACACTCTACCAATAAAGCTGTGGTAGCGGCAAAGGAGGAAGAGAACATGGTGACGATGAGCCCAGCTCAGAGAAGACAGGAAATATGGCTCAGTTAAAGTGACTTGCCATTTCCTGGTTGCTCGACAGAAGTACAGACAACAAGAGAGCAGAAAAGAGCAGAGAAGTAAACAAGCGGAGGCATCATGATGGATTCTGAATGATTCTGAGGCTTACAGGCAGACACATTCTGGACTTTATAGAAACAACTTGGTGGGGGCTCCGCAGAGACCGGGGTAACAAGAGCCCCTCCACCACACATCACCTGCCATGAGACATGGACTGGCCCCTAAATGAACAACAATTGGTAAAGTTTGTTTCTTTCCACCTTGAGCAGGTTTAGTGTTATTTTACAGTTGCTTCCTGCTGCAGTGCACATTGTTTTGGTATGCCAGAAGCCCTCTGTATTTTGCTATCAGAGTGTGTAAATATCAGAGAGTGTTTTATGAAGCTGCTAACAGCCCAACTTCCCCTATACGAGTAGGCGGATCAAGCCGCATTATTTAAGATACAGTTTAATGCAGTTTAATGCAAGACATTATGGATTGTGCAAGTGCTACTTGTTTTTGTCTCATAGACAAAACCATTGTCACTGCTTTTATTGCATTACGAATTCACATTACACTGCACAAGTTTGCATACCCTGTAGTTTCCTGTTGTGTTAACACAAGTGTGTGCATGCTCTGATTTTGAAGATAGCACCCAGTCATGCTCATGTTGTAAAGGTTTTCTATGCATGTGCAAAATTACATAATTTCCAAGTTGAATAGTTTTTAGGGTGCCTGAGAGACTGTTGACTGGGCTAGTTGATTAACTGGCATTAAGGAAGTTCAGAATAATCTGGCTTCGGGTTCATTTGACCCCGATAAGATGCGTTTCTCAAGGGGCTTTCACAAATGATGTGTTCAAAAACAACTGGACTGGGCACAATGGATGTGGTTTTAAAAGTAGACCTTTCAATTTAGATGCAAAAGGAGTACCCATAGACACTTGGATTATCTTGTGTGTGAGTTTGTTTGTAACCTAGACCTCTCTAACCTTCGGGTTGTCCTGTCAAAAATGTTTTACAGCCTCTTACTTTTTCCTTTTATCTCTCTGTCTTTCAGAAAGATGTCACTTACCTGCAGCAATGGTTGGAGGCATTCGTGGCGTCTTTTGAGAAGGTCATTGATGTGCAGTCGACGGAGCCTCGTCGGTGAGTCAGTTACATGCTGACTTCTCAAAATGTCACAGGCACAGGGAGTTGATCTGTAGGTGGTCAGGTCCAGATGGAACTCTAACTATGATGGTATTTTAAGGCCTATATTTGTTTAATTGCTCATTTAATGGTTGGTGAGTTTGAAAAATCCATATTTTGAATACGTTCATCTCCTTCATCCTGCAGATCTGATGTAGTGAGTCTTGATATTGGCTAATTCAGTGCACACCAGATCTGTGATCTAAAGATTAGCACATACAGTGGGTATGGAAAGTATTCAGACCCCCTTAAATTTTTCACTCTTTGTTATTGGAGATGAAGGATCAATTCCAGCCCAATGTTGTGGTTCAGCTAGGGTTGCCTGTTTAAAATTTAGAAAAATATCAGTTATATAAAAATAACTTGAGGCTGTCTGGAAAAGATTTTGAGTAACATCAAAACAGCAAAATATGACGCAATAGCCGAAGACATGCACAACTTAAAAAAAAAAAATTGAGCAGACGAAACATTAATTTGTGCTCTGTGTGGACAATGCCAAGGTGTAAGTCCAAGACATATGTTCAATGACTGAAAATAGTGCTTTGACTTTTTTAATGTCTATTTAACAGTGCCTCATCAAAACAAAATTAATCAAAACAAAAGAAAAAATAAACAAAAGCAAAACAAAAAAATAAGCAAAAACTAAAACAAAAAAAAGCAAAAATAAAAAACAAAAAAGCAAAACAAAGAACAAGCAAAAATTAAAGTAAATCAAAAGCAAACAAAAAAGCAAAACAAAAAAACAAGCAAAAATTAAAGCAAAACAAAAAACAAGCAAAAATGAAACCGAAACAAGCCAAATTAAAACAAAACAAAACAAACAAAAATCAAAACAAAAACAAACAAAGCAAACAAAACATCCTTCTTTTTGTCTGCAGGCTGGAGGAATGGAGCGCCGATGTCCCCCTCCTCCCCAAGGAGGTGTTGGTGTTCCTCAGCACCCAGCTGTGGCACAGTGCCCTCCACATGTCAGGGCAGGATCAGAGCAGCACTGCTCCACACCCACTGCTCCTCATCAAGTTCTTCATCATCATCTGCAGGTCAGTGCCCACTGAGCACAGAGTGAACACCATCATTCTCTTTGCGATAATGCCCCAGTGACTCAAACCCCTGTTGATAAGCTTCTATCTTCAAACAGCAGGGATAACGCAAGCCAGCAGTTTATACCAAATTGCATAGCTGATGTGGATCTTCCCTGAGTGTACAATAATACCATTTCTAATGTGAATCTCTGCTTGCAGGAATATGGAGAATATAGACTCTGAAAAGACCCCGGGGTTTGTGTTTGAGACAATCAAGCTCCTAAACTTCTGTTTGACTCAGGTAAGAAGTCAATAAGTCTGTGAAACAATTTCATAGCAGTTTGCACCCCTGCTGATACATTGAGCCATGGTGCTTATGTGGGAAATGCAAGTTTGCGTAATTTCATAATCCAGTTCCCCTTCGTCGTCTTATTTTTTCTTGTCACCTCTCCATTATTCTATCAATATCAGGAAGCCACTGTTATATACATGATCACTTTTCTAGTTTTACTCTTGTATTTTTTTTTTTAAAGCTACTTCAAATTTGTTGAATGTTTGTTTATTCCAAACATGCCAATGAAACGTTCATTCACTTAATTGTATATTACTATGCAGCTATTGATATTAATATGCATGTGCTTATAGTGTTATTGTAGGTTTCCGAACTAACAGAACAGGTTGAGTCAGAAAGCTTTGGGTGGAAGACCTCTGCTTTATTCAAAGGAATGTTTGTGTGTTAACAAGCCAAAAACAGATAGGTTTGTGTATTGTGTAAGACTCATTTGAGTGTGTTTATGTATGTGTGTTACAGCTGAAGAAGCAGCCAGATGATCAGAGCACTTTACAGTCGGTGGTACAACATGGCTTGCTGCTGTGTGAAAATCTCTTTGACCCTTATCAGACGTGGAGGAGACGGCAGGCAGGGTGAGTGTGTGTCTGTGAGTTGGGCAGGGTGTTAAACCACAACAAGGATGCGTAGGAGCCATTAAGAGCGGCTAGCTCTGTTTTAGCTCCGCTCTAACAGTTAATAACACACCCAGTCCTCACCTCTCAGCTCTCAAGCCTTCTTATGCTCAGCTGTCTGAACTACACACAGCGCAAACTTCCCACCGCATGTGTGCATCTCTTCAAGGAGCACTGTTCTGCCCATCCACTAATGTGCAGGTTATGAACTGAGGTGTATTATGAAACAGTCCACCTTTCTTGACCCCTGTAAACAGCCTACAAATAGACTAATGAACTATTTATTAAATATTTATTAATTGCTAATGTATTTGGCAGATGAATTGAGTAGTCCCTTGTACTATATTAAAGTATTACAGTGTTACAATGTTTTTATGGAAACATTCTTTGTAGTATCATGAGATATCATGTCAGCATAATGGTGTCTAGTAGATTAATCATATTGTACAATGAAATAACTTGAGATATATTTGGTATAGCCTATATCTCATGGTATTAAAACATGGTGATATCGTTTTACTTTTTGTTGTTGTTGTTCTATTTAATCATTTATTATTTTTGGAGATTTATGCTTAAAACAAGAAACAAGTTGCCAGTGGGTAAGAAAAATAAACATAATTGATGCCAGCATTATGGTGTAAGAGTAGATGAATCAACTTGTACCATGATACATCAATATGGCATGGTATTTCAACCTCATAACATAATTGTACTGCCATTATTAATATTATTATTTAATAATTTATTATTTTTTGGAGATTTATGCTTAAAGCAAGAAACAAGTTGCCATTGGGGTGAGAAAAATAAACATAATTCATTTAAACAGTGTATGTGTAGATTAATCAACTTGTACCATTTTATATATATATATATATATATATGTATATATATACAGAGCTGGGTAGTAACTGATTAGATGTAATCTGGATAAAGTAATCAGATTCCTAAAATGAAGTACTAGTAATTAGAATAAATTACATTTTATTGATTTATTGATTACATATTATTCACCTAAGAGCAATAATTTATTCATAATTCCTATTTTTCATCTTTTAAATGTTCCTTTCTAAAATAACCTACACATGACATGGAGGTAAATAAATAAATTTCATTTTTTAGTAAGTGTTCTAATTGATTGATGTTATTTTAAAATGATTTATTTTAATTTGACGTTTTTATGATTTAATTGATTATTAGCTTTTCATTAAACTCACAAACCCCCTGCAGTTCCTTTATGAACCCCAGTTTGGGAAACCTTGACATAATGTAGTGTTCAATGCTCTTCATGTTGTTAATAACACTGAATGGAATATATTTTCTTTCTCTTTGTATTTTTATATCAGTATGGTACAATATTAATTATAGTACAATTTAAATGTTACAATTACAATTTAAAGTTAGGTCAAAAGTAATCTAAAAGTAATCAAAAAGTAGTCTGATTATATTACCTAAGATGTGTAATGTAATGGATTATATTGCTAATTAAAATTTTTGTCATGTAATTTGGATTCAGTAACGGATTACAATTTGCAAGTAATGTACCCAGCTACATTGCTGTTGTTCATTATTATTAAATAATATTTTTAACTCTTTGCTAGATTTATGCTTAAAGCATGAAAATTCAAGATATATTCTTGACTATAGATTAAGAAGATTTACTGCAGTGTCCTGTAGCTTATTGCTTTTGTAGTAAATAGGAACTAAGTAGATACTTCCAAAAAGAGCTTTGATTTGTGTGTTTTTCAGGGAGGAGGTCAGTATGCTGGAGAGAAGCAAGTATAAATTCTCACCTCTTGTTCTACCAGAGGAGCTTCCTTTGCTCTTCCACGGTATGTCACCCACTCCTGCCTTCTTACACAATCTTTCATTTTCTCCATTTACTCCCATCTTCACATCCTGGGAGATATCGCACATCCCGCCTCCCAGGAGAAAATCTTGTTTGTAAAGAAGTGGCGATCTGATCCCCATAGTATTAATCCATAGTGATTAAGGGCTCTGTTTTGTCATGTTATTTGCCTTTAAATGTGCTTCATGTAAATCATCTTGAATCAGTGGAGTTGTCCTTTTTTAAGTGATAGATGGTTGTGACTTGTTTCTTCTGTTAGTTTGTGTCAAGCTCTGTCTGGACATTCTGTAGAAGCAACCCTCCATATATATGGATCTATAGGGAGAGATCTGCATTTTATTTATAGATTATTGAGGTAATGTGATGTATAGGACAGTTGAGGCAGGAAAGAGTGAGGAATGGGATTTAAACATGATGCAGTCTAGATTTGACATGGACTCTTTATAAGCACATAACTTAACAAATCTGAGAAGCAGTACTGTTGCAGCCTGCAGTCAATCATGACTAAAACAAATAACATATAGTCCTGATAGTGATGAAAGCTTAGTTCAAGTGATTATAAGCTCTGTGGAGCAACTTCCACATCTATATGTAGTTAGTAGGCAAGCTGCAGTGGGTCCAAGTAGCCTATGGTCGTGAGGCGAGGTAAACTAGATTCTTGTGCTAAAAAGTTGTTTTTCACCAAAAGGTTTCTCCACATCGTGTTTATGATGTAATGGTAAACTTGTTTGTATGAGGTTTGTTCGATTTTCTTGTAGTTTCAGTAAACAGAACAACAAAAGCCTTTAAGCCCTTTGTCTTTGTGTTTTAAGTTGATCTTTGTTCATTTGAAGCCTCAGTGTTTTTGTTTGATAGGTGGTTTATTATTTAATTCTGTCAAACAACATTGGACCACATTGACTTTATTTGTATGAAAAAATTCAAAATATCGTCTTCAGTGTTCTAGAAAATAAATAAATGCACATGTTTGGAAAGGCGTGAAAGTGAGTAAATGATGACGGTTTTCATTTTTTTTATGATCTTTCTCTCCAATAAAAATACGTTTTTGTGCCTTAGAGCGGTACAATAATAACAATTGCACAAACAATGCTCAGCTTTAATATTCTTGTGACTAAATGACTGGCTACACCCACAGACTACCTACAAGAGAGCGAACTAATCCCAGAGCCGCTCGTGGTGAGACTGGTGCATCTACAGGGAGCTGTAATCAGTGGATGCAAGGTAAATGAGACTCTCTGGTCCTGTTTACATTAACATGTATTAACGCATGAGGGATTTCAGAGGGATCTCTGATTTTGCAACCACATACCTTACTATATCAGTGTGTGATGTGCTGTTGTTTGTTTGTTTTTCAGAGGAACGGCCTTGTCTCCATCACCCCCCAGGCTGTGAAGGACCTCATGTCCGTGCTGCGTTCCTGGTGCCTCACTCCAGCCTCACCCCCACAAGAGCCCAAGGATCCTTGGCTGCTCAAAATGACCCTGCGGTGCCTGACTGCAATGATCCACCTTCTGCACTCCAGCAGCCCAGCCGAGAGGCAGGTGGAGATCCGGACAGTACTGGATAGTTACTTCCAGCTGCTCAACTGGAACCGGCCACCAGACAGCCAGCAGGAAGATATGCAGACCTGGGAGGATAACCTCATTACCCTTCTCGAACATATGCTGAGTAAGAGAATATTTGCCATCACTTTTTAACACCATTTTATTTTTTTAAATTATTTTCTTCTGTGGAACACAATTGAAGATATTTTCAAAAATGTCTCAGCATTGCACCCCATTGACTTTGGTTAAAAGACTCTCTATATATATTCTACAGAAATCTTCTTTTGTGTTCTGCAGAACAAATAAAGCCATGCAGGTTTGTAATGATATTGAGTATATGATGCCAGCATTTAAAATTTCAGGTGAACTATCCCTTGAATGCACCAATATTCCCTAATTGAATTATTCTGCCTTGTAAGAGGCCTAATTGTGTATTTTTGTGTTTATTTGGTTATCATGCTACTAGCTTAGAAACATGTTAATGTCAAGCTTTGAGTTTAGTCTCCTATGCAGAATGTTAGTTGTGTTCAGTAGCTACCTTTGTAGAGCGTTTCAAATCACCCACTTTTGAGGTTCTATGGCTGTTTGGATGGTTTCGTTTTATCTTTTTGTTTGTTTTGTTTTTTATTTATTTCAGTATTTTGTATTTTTTGTTTTTTTTGTTTATTAATTATTTCTCGCCGTTTCTTTAAGTAGAAAAAAAAACTCTTCATCCAGTATTCTATTGTGGTTTCCATTTCATAATATTTCCTTTTAAAGGGATAGTTCACCCAAAAATGAACATTCTATCATTATTTACTCACCCTCATGTTCTCCCAAACTGGTATTACTTGTTTCTATGGAACACAAAGGAGAATATTGAGGTTCCATGACTGTTAGGATGCTGCCTCAGAAAGCAGCTGCCTATGTAGGCAGCAAGCAGCAGTTTTGGAACGAAGCTTATGTGTCAGTACATTACAATATATCCTAATCTCTAAACATTAAGGATCACCGTATTGACACTCACTGAACAGCAACCAGTAATTGTTGTATTGTGTATACAGTAGTAAGACCCCTTCCCTTGCAATCCTCTTGACACCATACGTCAAGCCACGTCCCAAAACACCCTATTAATCTGCTTCATAAACTTCAGCTGCTCAAAGAAAGGCCACTTGAGCTTGTACTCTTTAAATCAAAGGGATGCATGCATGGATGGATGGTTTTATCCTAGAGTTTACAGCATTACAGAACAGTAAATATTTGAATACACCATTTTATTAAGCAAATCATTATAATGCAGTGTTGTGTTTGCACTTGCTTGTTTGTTTCGTTGCGGGGTTGTGTTGTATTTGCACTGTCTGTTTGTGTTTAATAGCTTCCCAAAGTCTGTTTGTGTGTTTAGTAGCTTTCATGATCCCCTCTAGGTTTCTGTGTTTGTAAGAGTGGTCAATATTGAATAAAATTTTTAGGTTGAAATTTATATGAATATATAGGTCACCATTTCCTTTTCACTATTTTAAACACTAGGCCAGTTAATTTACATTAAATGGTCCTGCAGTGTGACAATCATTTTTGAAACACAAATATTTCAGGCTCCTCAGTTACTATAAGGTCATAAGCTGCATGCATTATAATTATAAATCAAGCAGGAAAATGCATATTGGTAGATGGAGTACAGCATGTCACACCGACTTCCCAGAAGTATTTCATGTATTGGGCATGTAATATGATATTATGTCATGATGTAACAGTTATTTTGCAATAAATAAATAAAACAAAACCTTGATATTGAATATCAACACAACAATATTGATTTGCAGTGCTTCTGATTCTAGATATTTAACCCAGATCACTGTGTGTGATCTGTTTGATTTAGTTTTTAAACATTTAGAATGTGTTTGTAGTGAACTTCAACCCCTTTTGCAGAAGTTCAGACAGTAATTGTAGCCAGTTCTCTGGAAGCAGTTTTGAATGTTGCAAAATGTCACAAAACAGCTATTTGGTTGCATTTCATTTCTTCTCCATGAGTAATGCAGCTGTCCCAGCGCTGTTTATTTAAGTGCTTAAAACTGGCACAGTTCTATCTCTCCAGAAGGCACAAGTCAAAAAGACTGAATGTCCTTGTGTTTTTGCCCTGCAGATGCTATCCCAGAGATCCTGCAGTGTTCAGACCGGCCGGTGTTGCAGGCTATCTTTCTGAATAACAACTGTTTCGAGCACATCCTCCGCCTCATCCAGAACAGCAAGGTCAGAACGCTACCTTCTTAAACCCTCTGAGATATCTGCAGCAGCGCTTCACATTTCCAACCCTGAGGATTCAAAAATGAGTCTCATGGCGGACAATGGAAATGTGGCGGTCTGAGTACTGAACGAGAGTTGACTTATCTCAACCACAGATTTGCCAGGGTTCAATCCAGAGGTTGCTTTGAACTAAAATGTTTGTCATTTATCAAATTTTTTTTATTTTTTATTAGTCGGTTATTCTAAATGCACATAAACATACAGATACAGTCTCAGCTATACAATGGAAAACAATAAGAAGCATACAATCAGGTAGAAAAGTTAATACAGTCAGGCTAGAGGCTAAATATGCACCATAGAATAGAAGATCAAGAGAGGTTGTTAATGTAGCACCAGAGAGGTGTCCATATCTGCCAAAAATCATTAGACTTTTGATGTATATCAAAGGTGAGTTTCTCAAGTGGAAGTAACGTAGATATTTGAGACAACCACATTTTAAAAGAGGGTACTTGAGGAGATGCCATTTATCACATTTAAAAGTAGTGACTGATATTTTAAATTGATTACAATTATTTTTTACATAAGATGATCTATTGATTTTTTCCTACTCAGGAAACATTCCCACTGAAGGATGTCAGTAGAGATTTGAAGCATTTCGTTTAATACATTTCATCAGCCGAATAAGAAGAAAAAACTCAAATGTAAAAGCTGTCAGGGTAGTACCGACTGTCTTATTTTTTTGTTTTTGTTTTTATTTTTATGTTATTTTTTTATATATCTACATTTATATTTATTTCAGTCAGTCATTTTAGTGCTTCACCTAAACATATTTCAAATGCCAAGGCAACATTTCTAATTTTCTTTTTATTATTTAGCTAATATTTATATTTTATTTCAGATTTATTTCAATTAGCATTTAAAGCAGTTCTTTCACATGCATTTTGTGAATTGAACAAAAAGAAAAGGCTTAAAAAAAACCATATACAACTACTGTCCTAACATCAAAAGTAATTTGGCAATGAAAAAAACATTTGTGTTGCCAAATAGAAAAGTAGAAAAAACAGGAAATGATATCATAGAGAGGATCCCTGCAGACAGAAATATCAGTTAGTTTGGCCTTTGACAGGACAAGGATAGTTCATTTCAGGTATTAAATATTATGTATTGCAGCTCACTAAAATGTAATGATATTTATTTATTGAATTATAATTATATTAAAAGTAATTATATTTAAATTAATAATTAACATTAAAAAAAATTCGAAAACCACATGAAACCAACATTAATACAAATGTTGCAATTCTAAGAACTTGTGAAAATCTATTTTAAACTAGGTTTTTTTTTTTTAAGATTGAACACTTTTATTTGTCATTGACCCATTAAGGCCAATATATTTTACTGACAGATAAAAATAAACCATGACAGACGATTTACAACCCAGTGCATCAAAGTGACGAACAGTAATTATTTGTAGCACAGCCTGTGTTTCCGTCCTGTGATGAAATATAGGTTCTGCGTCATAGGTTTGTATGTGATGATCACAGTCGGTTTGGGTAAGCTGGGTGGTTTTTGAGTGTGTTGTAACTAGGCATTATGTTGTGTACTGAGGATTTCGCAGAGCTTCTCTTTTTCGTCTATTACCTTTTCATTCCTTTTAGCTCGATCTGTCAGTAAGTTCAATTTCGGCTTGCTTGTTTTATCTCTGACTCACTTGTGTTCATGTGTTTGTGACGCTGTGTGTGTGAATGTGTGTCTGTCCTGCAGCTATATCAGAGTAACAGGTTTAAGGTGGAGTGTGAGGGCCAATGTGACCTCACTACACGGTTGCTCACAGAGGCTGAAGTGGAGCAGGTACTTTCCCTTCACCGCTGATCAGTGTGGCGTTCGTCAGCAGGAAACCCACCCTTCACTTGACTGACACAAACACAGACACGTAGACGAATACACAGACGCACAACTGCTGACTGAGCAACATTAGATTCCGCATAAACAGCGTGCAGTGTTGTCTAGGTGAATATACAGTAGCAAAACATCTGCATGTTGTCGGTGCGTGTGCCAGTTAGTGACACAGTTGACTTAAATGCAACGAAAAATATGAAACTTTAAAACATTCTGATGCTACTATTGTACCATGGTAGTTGGATATGACATGATGGTACTATTGTGTTCTAATATAGATGATAGATAACATCAATATTTTAGGGGAAAGCTGGCCTCAGACTGCTGTAATGTCATGTAAAATGAACTATAATAAATTTGTAAGCTTTTTTTTTATATCAAATTATTTATTTATTTATTTATTTCATGTGTTTGTGCATGCATATATGAATATCAAAAATAATGTGTTTCTTTTAAAATTCATATATGCATGCATAATTTTAATTTTAATTCTAAAAAATTAAATGATAAATGTTTTTGTATTTTTAAGATATTATTAATATTATGGTAACACTTTTAAGGTGTTCTTGTTACCCGTTACTTACTATTATAATAACAATAAATTATGCATAATTACATGCAAGTAACCCTAAGTCAAATCCTAATCCTAACTATATAGTAAGTACATGTACAGTAGTTAATTAATATTACTCAGTACTTGTATAATTACACTGTAACAAGGACACCTTAAAATAAAGTGTAACCTATTATTATTATTATTATTATTAAACCTAAACGTATTACATGGTTTTATAAAAGCAAAATGCATACAATTTTTAAAGAATTTGCAAAATGCTTTTTAAAATAGTTTTAGCTGGAGTATAACAATTTCCCCAAAAGTTTTCAATATCAGCTACCGTAACACCATTTATTCTCAGTGTTGTTGTAGCATGTTATATACTATTATAGTTTTTATTAATATTTTGAATTAGATTTTATATTTATATGTACAGTTTTCATTTTAATTTTGAGTTTTGTTTGTGCTTTTGTCATTTCATTGTTTTTTGCTTTTTTTATATTTCTAAATAGTTTGAATTTATTTGTATTCCAGTTTTAGTTTGTTTGATTTCAGTTAATAATTTTAATACTTCACTTGTTCAGTCAGTCAGCATTTCTAATTTTCGATAGTTTCAGTTTTTCATCTAATAATTATATTTTATTTTACCTTAGCTTTTTCAATTAACAAATAGTTTGTAATAGTTTTAGTTAATGATAACAATGTTGTATATAAATATGGAGATCACGTAGTACCATGAAATGACTGTTTGATACCATAGTACCACATAAGTACATTTTTAAAGGTTATTGCAGTGTCAGTACACAGAGTTGGAGGGTGAGGATCCTGCTGGTTGTGGTTTTGTGTGTGTGTGTGTGTGTGTGTGTGTGTGAAGTTTGTTGGATGTACTTGCAAGGCCGTGTCGCCTTGCACATTGTCTTGCAGTGTGCAGCGTTTCTAGATTTGTAGCATGTCTAGTGTAGCTGTGGTGCTGTGGGTGTAACATTTGGTGTGTGTTTCATTTGGTGGTCTTTGGTGGGATATTTGTGGTGGAGTGGTGGTAAATATTTTTAGGTTAAAAGTGAGAAATCTGCTCTACTCTTGCATGTTTTAATCTCTTTAATTTAACATTAATTTGTATTCAGTTTGTTTTTAACAGAATCTTGCGCTTCAAGGAGAAATGTTCAGAATTCATATCTGCATGCTTCTCTCTGAAACTGTTCAATTAAAAGGAATATTTCACTCAAAACTGTTTACGCTACTGATCAAAGGTTTGGGGTTGGTAAGATTTTTAAAAATATTTTTTAAATAAGTGTTGTATGCTCACCAAGGCTGCATTTATTTGATCAAAAATACAGTTCTATTTTAATATATACTGTGTGTGTATATATATATATGTATGTATGTATGTATGTATATATATATATATATATATATATATATATTAAAAAGTAATTTATTCCTTTGGTAGCAATGCTTAATTTCCATTACTACAATCTTAAGTGTCATGTCATGTGACCTTTCAGAAATCATTCTAATCTGCTAAATTGGTGTTTAAGAAACATTTCTGATTAGCTTGTTGTAAGGAAAAGGCTTTTTTTTTTTTTT